CTTTATTTCCACTCCTTTATTACACTTCTGCTTCTTGTTCAATTCTTATTATCCTGTGGATGACTGAATACTGTATCCATACTTTGTGTTTACCTGAAATACCATTTTTGGGACAGGAATGCTCTATGCTTTCTCGAGTTAAAGTTTATTCATTTTCAGGAAGCACATGAACTTTTGCTACTCAATATCAAGTAGTTATAGTTGGTTGTAAGTAAGCAGCTAGGGGACTGGTGACTTTGAGTCCTCTCCAAAGGGCACTAGCGCATCAACTTGGTTTCAAACCCGGAACCTTCCGGTAAAGAGACCACTGCTCTACCACCGAGCCATCACGTCTCTGTTATTGAACCCACCATTTTTTAAACTTTAAATTGAAAAATGGAATAGCTATACCAGGAAAAAATGTTTGGCTTATTTACCGACGGTGCCGCAAGGGAAAGCAAACATGTTCCCCCGGGGAGGCCAGGCGATATGATGCCATGTAACTGATTGACCTCCAGGGATGTTTGTGTGCTGTATGGGCCATTTCACTTGCCACCTCCACGCTCAAGTTCACTACCATCAACAAAACTAACGGTACCAACCAGAGCTAGGAAATGTATGCCCTGTCACATTGCTTCTGGCTGCCTTGGTATTCAGGCATTATTTAGGACTCCTTTCTGTTCTGTCACCGTCCCCTTCTCGAGAGCCCCCCCCCCCCTCCCCTATACACCATCTCCAATCTCTTCCTGAGAGCCAAAAAGATGTTCACTCATATAATTCTATATCCAATTCATGCCATTATGCCTTTCATCAGATGTTGTTTGTTAACTGCCCTCCCAGTCTTCTCAGAAGATCCTCTTCTTTGTTTTGGGAAGTGATGATGATGGAATTGGGAAATATGGCCTACTGTTTGTGATACTACCACCACCACCCAGGCGCGTAGCCAGGGGGGGCGGTGGGGGCAGTCGCCCCCCCCAAAACGCCGGCCAAAAAAAAAAAAAGAGAGAGAAAGAGAAGAAAAAAAAGAAAGAGGACGTAGGAAGAAAAAGGGAAAAGGAGTCGAGAACGGTACAATGAATCGTCAAAGCTTCCGCGCTTCGCGCGGGAAGGGGGAAACTGAGTTCAAATTAAGAAATATGAGTCGGGAAAGGTACAACGAATCGTCTTCTTTCTCTAATAATTTAATGAAACGTCAAAGCTTCGCGCGAGAGGGGGGGGGGGGAACAGAATTCAGACAAGGATTAAGAGTCGAGAAAGGTACAACGAATCGTCTTCTTTCTCTAATAATTTAATGAAACGTCAAAGCTTCGCGCGAGAGGGGGGGGGGGAATAGAATTCAGACAAGGATTAAGAGTCGAGAAAGGTACAACGAATCGTCTTCTTTCTCTAATAATTTAATGAAACGTCAAAGCTTCGCGTGAGAGAGGGGAGGGACTGAATACAGATAAGGATTAAGAGTCGAGAGAGGTACAACGAATCGTCTTCTTTCTCTAATAATTTAATGAAACGTCAAAGCTTCGCGCGAGAGAGGGGAGGGACTGAATTCAGACAAGGATTATGAGTCGAGAAAGGTACAACGAATCGTCTTCTTTCAAAGCTTCCGCGCTTTGCGCGGGAGGGGGGAAACTCCCCCCTCCCTGCACCCACCCCCCTAGGGAGTGCGCTTCGCGCGCTCTTTAAGTGATTCGCACGCTTCGCATGCTCACTACCGCCCCCCCTAAAATGAAATCCTGGCTACGCGCTTGCCACCACCACTACCATTAACCTACAAACTCCATAACTATCATCATCAACTGTACTATTGATAACTTTCTTTAATAACCATCATGATCATATTCATCACATTTTCATAACATGTGATTCTTCCATCACCATTATTAAAGATGACATAATATTACCAAGAAGTTACCAGCCTTCTCGGTAACTTCTTGATATTACGTACTGCTAGTTTAGAAAATGGGAGATAGTTTTGAATGTCTGCATAGTGCCCCCAAGTTTTATTAGATGGCGTCAAGACAGTTTTGTGAAAAGGGCACGTGCCCTTGAATTCAACTACGCTTTTGAATCAAATTCTCCTCAATAAGATACCGTTGTTATCTCACTTTAAAACCAGAATGCCAAATAATTCAAAGAGGTTTGTGAACTGGGGTAAACTCTAAATGCGCCTGTTTGGCTGGCTGCCCTGATAATTTAACCTACGATCAATTGCATATTTAAACATTGTCTAAATACAAATCAGTTTGAATTACCCATTCAGCCTGTTATTTCCAGGTGTACTTTCTCTATTTCTCTAAAAGATCTTTTGTCAGTCTTGTACAACAGACTTTGTTCTTCTATATTGCAAATTTCAGTAAAACCAAAAAATGCATCGCAGTCAGTATCAAATTTAGAAAGCAGATGGTAAGATCAATTATTTGAAGCAGGTTGAATTTATCAAAGTAATGAGTCACTACAAACAGGATCATGATATAATTGATTTATGAAAATGTTTCTTAAAGTAGACTAGTCTCTTCTCGAGTCCATGGGAAGGTATCCAAATAGTGGTCTAAACTGCCTCTAGGGAGCAGCACCCTGTTGAGGTCATAGGTCAAAGCAGCGGTCATCTGTCTACACCTAGCAGAAGGATAGACTTGGCCTGTCAGATATTATTGTCTTCATTCAAAGTCCAAGCCAGAGATATGAGTTGGATAGAGAATGTAAAAAGTGAGAAATCCTGAGTATCTTAAAGATACGATATGATTGATGCTGGAGGATCATGTTTTAGTCGTTCATTTCAGTCTAGATGAGTATAGGATTAGACTTCTAAGTATGAGAAGGTGAAGAGTAACAAGGAAGGGGTAGGTAAAGAGAAGATTTGATGGAGAACTGGAATTGAAACAAAAAGAGGCAAAGAGACAAAAACCACTTGAAGGGAGAAGAAAAAATGAAAATGAACAAGCATTTCTGAATCTCCATCAGTAAATCACAAGATCTGCATGATATGATGTTGATTAAGTAGTAATTAGATTTAAGAGAACTGCACATCTTTATTGCTTTAATGTACCTGAACATCATGAAAGCTTATACATGCCATTCGTTTTCAAGTAAGGGTGGAGATGCATCATTTTTGTCTAAATTTTTTTTTAGCTACAGTTGGATGGTTTCATGCAAGAAGGCAGAAAATTCAGATAATTTTCATAAATCTTGACGAAAACGGGGCACTGTAGAATTATTACCTCGGTGGCTCCATCCAGCACACAGTCTGTGATGTATTAGATGCATGTTTTCACTTCCGAGCTCCTAATCCCGCAGAAATAGATCTGAAACCAATCAATTTTCATCTTGTAGGCCCAAGGATTGTCTATTTGTTCAGTTGTAGGTGTGAGATTCTGAGAGGGGAGTGTTTATGCCCCCATCTGACTTGTGATGTTGTCTACCGGTAGTCCAGACTTCTGGGTCAGGGTGTTGATTTCTGGAAACGGGGGTTCTAGGATTCATCTGCATGGCTCTGTCAAAAGATGATGTCATTTTCTGAGCGATGGGTGGATGTTAACTCATATCACTTTGTATAGAGTTAAAGCCCTTCTGCCTCTCTGCGGATGATATGATAGTAGAATAGCTGAAGAGAGAGAAGAGAGAGAGAGAGAGAGAGGGGGAGAGAGAGAGAGAGAGATGCACAGATGGGTAGAGAGACCAACTGACAGGTGAATGGATAGAAAGATAGATAGAGAACATGTAGAATGTAAGGAGCGAAAGTAATTAGATAGAGGATTCTTTAAAGAAAAAAATGAATTTTATTGGGGAGTGGAGATTTGATGACAAAGGGGAGGGAGGAGAAACACCAAAAGTGGGGTAAAAAGGACTGAAAATGAAGATAAATGGAGGCGCGTGAGGACAAACGGTCGAAATGACTGAAACCTTGGGAGTTATACAAAAATCTTCATTTACAACATGTCAAGAGTGATATGCAGTTTAGGGGAAGGGGTGGGATGGGGCAGGCTTAGGGGCACTGTGCATTCGTTATCTATTCCCATCTATTCCCATCTATTCCCAGCATACATGAATTGGATAAAGCAAGAAATATTCAGAGCAGAATGTCAAGAGGTACCAGCAGATGACATGTTTCTTCTGACCTGAAGTCAAACCATATTTGATAAAGATGAAGAATGGATGTGGCACTGACTTCTCCCTCTAACCAATCAGCGGTGGAACATTCCGCCTCTTGAGAAATGAAACGCGAGGCAGTTTGTCCCGAATCATTTGCTCTCTGTGGGTCACTTTCTCAGGAGGAGTTTCTTTGTTGCAATGTGTAATTAAAGCCCTTTCAATTATAATGTCTCTCTTTTCTGCATGTTTTCATGTCATGTGGGGGAAATCAAAGGTTGCGTCTGCTGTCTAATACTATTAAATGTGAGATGCATAAAGTGTAAACATTGCATTCCTGATACACCGCAGATTTGCAGATATGATACCTCAGTACAGTCATCAGGCCAACATAGTGGTGTTCAATGATCACTTACTTTGTAATCCAAGGCATATGTTAACAGAAAATATAATCTTCAATAAAAAGATAATGTAATTAGTAACCCGCTGTTGCTGCCATTACTGTATAAAATAACAAGCATATTATAAAATGTTATTTTTGTGTATATTTGTAGTTAATAACAAATATTTATTGTTTGTGCATGTTATACTTGGGTTGTACTTGTAATATGGTTGTTTATGAAATGAATCATATAAGAAAAGAAACGAAAATGTAAAGCTCGCTTGTAACATTTGGAGAATTTCAATTTGTGTATTCTTCACTCTGCCTTGTTACTTAATATGTTGTGTTTGTCTATGTGTGAACATTTTGTATACCCTACCACTTAAACAATCTGTTTTTGTTTATTATGCTAGACCATGAGCATGCACCAGGGTTAAAATATATATGCTTCTTTGTAACGATTGAATAAAGATGAAACATACAATTCTTCTAGAATTTTGAATGAAGGATAGAGATGGAGTAACAAACCTCTCTCTTTTTTCTTGTATTTCTACAGACACAGAAGAGGATGAAACTGCTTCACAACCACAACGATGGTGAAAAATCACCACACATGGAACATTCTCCCATCACACCAGAACAGGTAAGATATCCGACGAGAAACTTAAGACATTCAAGCATTTTTCTCAGGCCTATCCACCTCCTACAACAAAAATTGAAAAGTTTTGAGGCTACTTATAAATTATAACCTTTTTTGCTTTGACCTACCCCCTCCCACAACTAAAACTGAAAAGTTTGGAAGTTAATCACAACCCTTTTCTCTGACCTACCCCTCCCACAAAAAAAACTGAACAAATTGGCTAACCAACCACCTCCCCCAACCAAATTTTTCATTTTGGGAGAGTCGAGACCCACTGACATACAACTATTTTCTCTATGTATTTCATCAAACTAACCTCCATTCTACACAGCCACTGACTGATTTGAGAATGAACACATGCATTAATACTTGCATGTTTCCAGGCTTTAACTGTCAGAAGAACATTAAATTGTACCGCATCTGCTGAGAGCCACAGTATTTTTAAATATATGATCTAATGTAATGCCCTTCTGGCTCTCAGTAGAACAGAACATTGATTAATATAATGATGTTAGTGAGGTCATGAAATTGCCTGTTTAAAGCCAAAAGGGTGTTAAATCTTTTATATGATACTGCCTTTCTGGTTCTTGGTAGAATATTCAAAGCCTGGAATCCAGTGTGATCAGTGGTTAGTTTGCTCAGAACCAGAAGGACATTAAATCATTAAACACAGATTTGTAACACCCTTCTGGCTCTGACGGTTGATTGACTCAATGAAATCATGATTTCCATTCCTGGGATGAAGTTAGTGTGGCCATGGTGAGAGCGAGTTGTGTGAAGTATGTCTGTGCCTTGGGGTGGAGGAAGTATGAACCATGAGAGTGGGAAGAGGGAACAATATTATGACAGCTATATATCCTACAGGAACACAGGCAGAGGGGATGGACAGGTGAAATGGAAAATGGAGGATGGGTGGAACATAGGAGAGAGAGAGAGAGAGAGTGAGGATGGGAGACAGACACATACAGACAGACATACACGTAGGACAAAGACAGGCAGCATGAGAGGAAGAGAGAGAGAGAAAGAGAGAGGAGAGAGAGAAGGAGAGAGAGAGAGAGAAGGAGAGAGAGAGAAGGAGAGAGAGAGAAGGAGAGAGAGAGAGAGAGAGAGAGAAAAGGAGAGAGAGAGAGAGAAGGAGAGAAAAGTACATAAGTAGAGAAAGAGAGAGAGGGAGAGACCAAGATATTCTGAGTGGGAATGAGGAGAAGGGTGAACGAATCAAGAAAAGGTGAATAATCTACATATAGAAAGAAAAATATAGTTATTAAAGAGCAGGTAAATCTATATAAAATAAAGAGGGGAGGAAGTAAAGGAGGAAAAATTGATAACATACATGTAATGAGAAAGAAGAAATAAAGTGAAGTATAGAACAATGGAAATAACAGGTAGTAATGTACCATGAAATAAATATTCTTCTCAAGATTTAAAGAAGAGACCAATATGCACTCATTCAGACAGAGACAGAAAATTAAATGGAAGTCAATATTACACATTTTAAAAAACTGTCGAAAATAGAAACATAACATAATTGTTTCTTGTTAATTTCCTTGTGAGTAGATATTGAATATGGCAGAGAGATGTTCAAAGCAGTCTGAAGACCACCATAGTACCCCAGGGAGACAATATCTCCATTCTCAATTCTCTTAAATCTCATATTGCTACCAGTTACACTGGTCCATTGTGACCCAAATATTTGATCTGGTGCTCTATTTAATATTCAATGTGCTCCCTGAAATTAGGTCAAATATCGCATGGGAATTTGTCAAAACCAGAAGGAGATCAAACTTCACTTTTGATTACAAGTTCCTGTAAAGATTAAACTCAAAGACCATCACAAGATGTATAGAGTTTCCCAAGGCACATATAATGGGAGGGTATATATTAGGATTACAAATGAAAGTATGAATATAATTGTCAATTCATCTAATATTTACTATCCTTGGATGCGAGACTATAGGTCTGATTGAGTGAGTCACCCATAAAATAGAATATCGAGCTTCTGTAAGACCAGAACATTTTCTGTCTGAAATATTACTAAATTTCATGAGTGGTTATATTTGCCAAAAAAATTCTTACAAGAAATATATAAGTCACAACATATTACTCTGCAATTTGTATAAGTGCTTAAATTTATGTCATGATGTGGTGAGGAATGTAATATTCTTTGTTTAGACAATTTTGCCTGTATGAGACAATTGACACAATGAATTATGAGGGTCCTTTGCCTGAAGTGTGCATATATCATTTATGCAAAGAGAACATTTAAAGTTACTATCAATGGCAACCTCATGAGAGATATTTATAGCAGGTATAATTTTGACCTTTTTATGAATGTGATAAGATATTGTAATTAATTTGACATGATGTTCTGTTACTCAGTAGATGATTATGTCATAGAACTGTATACAAAAAGTGTCATCTAGGACTTTATACTTCCCCATTTCTCAACATCTTTCAGTCAGGCACTGAATAACCATAAGGCTATGTCACAACCTGTGTTCACTTTTACTTATTTAAATTGAATGAAACAAGAAATGTTTGCAATTTACTTCATTCTCCAAGAATAAACTCTTTATCCTTTCACTGATTTACTACCTGATACTAATGAAATGAAACATTGTGGCATTGCTACCACTTCTATCTCCCCCAAATGCTTTCTTGTTCCTGTATTTTAATGTATTCATGTCTTCCTTCTTTGACCTTTGACCTCATGCTTCCAGGATGATGAGGATGGTATATGGGCCTAATGCAGGGCTCCCTCTATACAGCTACCCCAAGTTCCCTCATGCATAAAATATTGGTAAAAAATGATATATTGTATAACTATATCCTAAGCATGCTTGCACTAAAATACTAATCTTTGATATTGCAGTAACCCTTCTCCAACATGTACAGAAGTAATTGGTTGAAATTGTTGCCGGTGCACTAACTCTTTCTAGAAACTAAATCTTGATTCAAAGTTGATGCATAATTCTACTAATTTTTTCACTGGCGTGCATTTAGTTTGATGATGTGCTGCTTGCTAAATCAGTGTGAATATTTTTTTCCCTAATTTTTTGTTTGTTTGTTTCTTCTTTGTTGTTGATTTTTATATATATTTGTTATTTTTTGTGCATGAATACCTGTAAATAAAGCATTTTGTTGAATAAGCACTTCATCTCTCGATGTATTTTTGCACAACACAGTTATATCAGAATTCAATGAGAATCCCAATTTGATGATCTACAAATATTTTGTACTCTCATCCTGTACACAATTTCTTTAAATGACCTAATTGTTTGGCCTTTATCCTTGTTCACTTCTGCTAGTTCCCATGAAAATGAATCCCATCTCAATTATCAGTTTTCAATGAAACAAAATGTGACTGATAAGGGATCAATTTCTTTGTCATTCCCAATTTCAGTACAGAACTGATTGACTTCTAATAATATACTTCCAATAAGTATTGGGAAATGGTCTTGATTCCTTTTCGGTTCTTGAACATATGGTTTCTGCACATGAAAATGGGTTCTGGTTGCTGTTGCAATAATATTTGCAAAAGGAAATGTGTGTGTATTTTGTGGTGTTATTTTATTTTGGTGTTTGTAGTGGGTTGTATAGGAATCTTTTCTTTTCTTGTAAATATAATATATGCTTGTATATATTTAACTGTATGAAGATGTGATTATACCAACTATATTAATCTTTGAATAAAATCTTTTCCATGTGTGTCCAATTTCTTCTGAAAGTTAGCACACCTCCATAAATCAAAGCACTTCTTAATCTTAGAAAGACTTTACAATCCATTCCTGGCTGTCTGGTTTCTGTTCAATTCATAAGTAAACTGTATAATTTGCTTTAGAAATGGATATTCCAAATATACAATATTCTATTCTTTTAATTGTATTCTATATTGCTTACTTGTCATGTGTGGGTCAATGAAGTTGGCTATGTGAAAGTTTATAAACCTTTTAATGGTTCGTAATCTTGTTTCAGTATATTGCACCCCTCTTTATCACAACAGTCACAACACTTTGTAAATGTTTCATATTTTCTGTTCAGAGCCAGAAAGGCATTAAAGATAAAGTCCAGTTATGGTCATGCGATCGCATTGTGAAAGAAACGTTGTGGAATCGATCAGAAAAGGTTGATCATCTAGCATATAAGTATTGGTGTGTACTGTAAGGTTCTGGAATCATCAACATGATAAGAAATTTGGCCCAGTCTTGGTAAAGTTACAAGCACTGTACACAGAAAGATGCGTATGGGACTACGCACACGTATGCGACACATGCGTTATATCAATCAGGTCCAAATAGATATAATAATTTACCAAATATATCAATTAGTAGGCGGTTTCTCGGCAAAATTTGTATGATCACGTATTAGTCAAAACATTCTTTCACATGATTGGTAATAATAGCTTCCATTTCACTTTTTGAGAAGGGGGCGTTTACAAAACTGGCCTTTACCTTTAACTCTCAGTTAAAACATCAAAGTCAAGGCCTTCTGGTTCCAAATAGGCAATAAAATTATGTCAGTTAGTATTACATCATTACATGGATGTAATTTTTGGATACTACAAGTCATTATTGGTGTCATTATAAGAAATTTGATCTGAGATATTAATACCCATTAGTACTTAAATGGCCACTAAAGATATTTTCAGAAAGTGCTTTACATAAGACATATATACAGGGTGTTTTTATTTTAAAGCAAATACCATTTATAATTGAAATTGAAGATATCATGTGTGAAATATTGATTAAACTTCTGTTTTGGAATATATGCTGTAAATAAAATCGTCTCCACTAACTCCAGTAATAGAGGTGGATGTGTTTCTTTTAATGGTGATTTCAGTAACAATCTACTAATTTAATCTGGTCTGTGGTAATTAACTTGTGTTTATAGACTGGTTCTTCATTTCGACAACTAGTTTCTCTTACTCCTTTAAATGATTATTAGCTGTCTGTTTCCATATGCACCTTGTCTTATTTTTCTATGATGTTCTAGTATGAATATTAATTTTGTTTATCCCCTCTATTCCACATTTTCACCAATGATTATCTACCGTAATCTTTTTTTAATCTCCTTTTAAAAAAAGCAAAAGCATATGCATGTATACTATATCCCGTACAAATATGTCTTTAAAAAAAATGCTTTTTCACAAAATGCACCCCTTTATTTTTAGAGTCATTATTTAAATCAAAAGTGGAAACAATTCATTTGGTGACTTCTTTCAAACTATCAATCCTTTCTGGCATAGAGGTAAGTTGTGGCTTTAAAATAATTTAAACAAGTAATTAGCCATCCCCGTAGAACCAATTGAATTGTCAATTTCAGCAACTCTATTGGAAATTCATACTGGACAAAGACTTGTCCGACTCCCAAGGTTATCTGCAATATCCAGAACAAAGTTGGCAAGTCCTTTTTTACCTCAATCGCGATGCCAAACCGACATCAAACCGACCGATGCTTGGCCATTGGGGCACATTGTGTTTGGTATGTTGTCAGTCTGATATGGGTTTTGTTCATTTGAATTGGGGTATAAGAAGTTAAATCTTGAGCCATGAAACTATCATAATCCTTTTCACCATCGTCTTTTCAATCCACAGCGTTTTGCAGGACAGTTCCATGGAGGGGTTCATAGCGTGACTCTGTGAAGACTGGACGGCAAGCTTCAGATATTCCTCCAGCTCCAGTGTATAAAGACATATCTAATTTCTTCATGGTCTTAAAAATCAACTTGGATATGGAGCAATACTCATGTAATATGGAAGTCATACTTTAATGCATTTACCCAGTTTGAAAGTATCATGAACATAATCAAGTCATAGAAGGGAGGATGTGGAACAGTTAATATTCTCTTTCAGAGGAAATATTGCAATATCTTTTAGGCAATCAATGATAAACAGAGAAGCACTCTGCAGAGTGCAAGCGACAAATCTATATTGTTTATTTGGGATTGGAGGTTAGAGCCTTCCATGTGCATATGGTTTGTGAGCAATCTTAACTTGGTGCTTTGTTAATTCAAATTTTATCTAATTCTATATGAAAATATTAAATTTCATATGCCTCGTTGACACTTGCCCGCATTTTGGTCCCGCACTGCCCCGCTCTGTTGCGTGCCAATGCGTGCCAATTAGTGACACGCAGGGTCACGTCTAATTTACGAATAGTTCACGCAATGCGTAACCACCAGGACACGCATTCGTAGACTATGCGCATGGCATGCAAAAACTGCGCACGAAGTATGCGCAGCCAATGCGCAAATTAGTCGTTAACTAGTCGTGAACATGCGTGCCACTAGGCCATAGGACAGGCAGCGGCGTGCACTGGCACAACTAGGCAGTGCATAGGGTGCGCATAGTTCACGCACGTTGCCAAACAAAATTGTCGTGCCAAAATTTTGAACATTTTGAAAATTCTGTCACGCATTTCACGCACGGCCCGCATCCGCCCGCATCCTCCCGCACGCTACCACGAGTACTTCCCGCATTGGCACGCAAGAGTATGTGTCTATGCGCAAACTATGCGCAAACCAAAATGCGGGCAAGTGTCACCAGGGCATTAGAGTACTAGATTATCAGTGCATTCCACACTCTTTTTTTATGAATTTTCTTCTTGATCCGAGTACTTCAAAATTGATACAGTTCTACAAAATGATGTATATTCACTAAATTTTGAATTCTACATTTTCAGGAGGTTTGTAAAGATTCACCTCTTGTTTGTGTAATATATTGTTACTTTCAAAGCATTTTAGTGTCAGTTTTCTGTCTTAGAACTTTCCCTGATTTGTGTGAGCTCTTTTATGATTGTTTGCGCTTACATGAAGTGGCATGATGAGGAAAATATTATTGAATTAAAAAAAAGTTCAATGCCTGCCCCCTCCCCCCTGCATAACAGGGGGATAAAGCAGAAAGCTATGTTGAAAAGATGTCAAAACATTAATTTTTGTTCTTCACTAAAATTGATGTCTTACCATGAAATAATTATATCATGTACAATTCTTTTCTTATATTGTAAATTCACAATTTATTGGATACATTTAAACATTTTCTTTGTCTCACTTGTCTCATTTAGTTAGTAAATATTGATTTTCATTATCTGACTTATTTAGGAAAGAAAGGGAAACGAGCTAAGTTAAGAATATATTCAGTAAATAACGGCCACCATCCTGAGACCTGAGACAAATGTAGCTGCACAAAGAGGGGAAAAAAGGGGGCAGGATGTTATCTTTGGGTCTGGAACTGACATTTTTTCTTCGCTAAATATCAACCTGCACCCACTTCGCATATCACGGTCACACCTACATATGGGCTCCTTGGTATCTATCCCAAATATGGAAATTAACGTTGACCCTTGACCTCACCCTTGACCCTCTGACATTGAATTCGCACCTGTGTAAGGTTTTATGACGGTTGATGTGCAAGTGTCATTTTACCAAGGCACGTCATGATCACACGAGGGAGGGAGTTGATATATCGTCTGCTTCAAAAGGGAGATCGTTATATTTAAACATGAAGTGGGATGCAGATTTACAGACTACTTCATTGTTCATAGCTCATTTAGATATATTTTTAGCAATCATGTATAGCATGGGGACCTTCTCTTGACAATATTACAAAGACTCTTTGTCTAATTCTCACAACCAATGTCTATTTCTTACATTTTTTCCGACTGAACAAACCGGCAACAATTTATTTGTCAACATGACCAGCAAATGAGATCTGGTAATGGTTACTATTACAAAACCATGGTTATAGATGGCTTTTTCAAACATATTTTTTTTTGCTCTTTAACTGATTTAATGACATATTTCAACACAATGCTTCCCACCAACTTTTATTTGTTGTTTATCCCATTGTAGGAAGATAGGTTTTGAAGTAGATATTTTTACACGTAAGCTGCATTGAAAGTGCATTGGAGGGACATCCCATGATAGTTGATACTTTCTATGTTTGTGCCTCATTTTTCTCCTTGTATTTTCTGATATCTCAGGTATTGCGCTTTTTAAGAGTGGAATAATTGTTCTCGTCTTTAATGATTCCTAGATTAGCTAAAGGTAGAATAGACAGAGGCAGATAAATAGATATGAAACAAATAAGTACATATTTTTGGCATCTAGAAGAAATTATAGAAGATTTTTTTTTTTTTAATAAATATTTTAAATCAAATTTAGATGTTGATTCATTAGAGAAGGAATGCTTCTTTCTTGTCCATTCTTGTGATTTATTATCATGGAAAGTAATCAACTCTAAATGATTCAAATCTTGCCATTTTGTTTCTATCTTTACAATTCTTGAAATGTTCATTAAGAAAGCTTATACTGTGAAACTATAGGTCATTTTTATTAGCATGCAGAAGATGTATATAATGTAAAAAAATTGTGTATGATGTATATGCATGGTCTTCTTGACTTCTGAAGATTTGTATAAAAAACAATTGTTTATTGCATTCCATACTCACTCATATTCTTATCAATTCTTATATCACAATTATATCATTTGAATAGCTCAGCTTACATTAACACTTAACAGTCAATTCATTAGATAGAAAATCAAAAGAGAGAAGGGAAATTTTAATTTGTATATTTTAGTTTCTGCTGCATCTTATTTTCACTTTCTTTTTTGCTGCATGTTTAAGCATTGACTTGTTAGGATATATGTAAGAGCAGGTGTGTTTAGAGATTTGCACACTATGCAATTGAACTATGACCTAATTTAGGCAAAGTCTCGCCCTGAACAGACAATTTTTGAGCTAATAATTATAATAGAGGAAACAATAACTGAAATGTTGGTATTTGAAATAAGCAAAAATATAACGTAATCTAACCCTTAATTATGGTGCTGTACAATTTTGCTGAAGAGATAAGGGTACACGAAAAACTTGAATTTAGAAATATTGAATGCTGTATTCATATCTGTTTCGGGTAGCAGTATACCAATTGTCTTTATGAGTTATGTACACATTTTGTATTAGGTATATGAGTCTTGTGACAAACAACATTGTCTCATTACATATAATTTTGAGGAAAAATGCATTAATCCTCTTGATGGATTTATCCATTCTGTATTAATATATCAATTTTGTTGCGTATTACATATGCAGCAATACTAGAGCGTGCCCTATTATGTATATTCATGTATATAGATATATCTCTAATAAATTTGACATGGAAAAGAAGCATTGACTATCACACTTTGACAAATCAGTATTTGAAGTTACTGATCTGCACATACGTTTTTGAATTAGTGAATTTCCATGCAATAATAATAATATCTGAGCTGACAAATGTAATCGAGGCTAAAGGAAAAGAGCAGTGCACTTTGGAATAATTATGTACAGAAGCAGGGCATAAGGTGTATAGTTGATGCCTTTTTGTTTCTAAATCTCAATCGATGGTAGATTTTATATTACCATCATTGTTGGTACCAGTCACAGTTATGTAATATTTACCATGTCGATCTTGTAGCAGAAAGAGACAGTGTCTTGCTAAATAATTGTGCCACACATACAGTCATATTTGTTTATTAAATTAATATTCGTTATTTGTGCCATTCTTTCAGAGTGTTATCTTTATCAATTTTATTTTGAATACCTGGATAAAACAGAGGAAAGAGGTATTGCGAACTGAAGAAATTTTGCGAAATTGCGTGCTATTCCTGAATATTTAAATTTCTAGCGAGAAATGATATTGTTGCCTTCATACAGTGTAATATATATAAAGAGATACAGTGGATGTATTGACAGTTTGTGCAAGAATGAATGGTAGCACGTAAGACATTGAGGAAAGTTTTTTTTTCAAATTCAAAGAAGTACTTGTTAGTATTTAGTTGTTAATTGGTAGTCTTATTTATCTTGATCATTAGATATATTTATTCACTCATCTGTACAAATTGTATATTTGATATTGATTATAATTATATTACTGTACTATAATATTGTTGAACTTTGCTTTTATTTCGATGAGTACCTTTGTGTTTGGCTTACAGTACTTATGATTATATTATTGAAATTGTGAGGGGTTTCACAATATCTTTTTTTTTAATGGCGATTTGAGGTGCAAATTCGCCATGGGCATGACAATTTGGCAAATTTCATCGTTTCTTTTTGTTTTGTTTTATAACTGTCAATACTTTTGTGAATGATTGAAACATTTTTATCAATGACTGAATTTTTATCATGTAAATGGAATAGAACTTTTACCTTCCAAATATGTTCTCTATTGTCAAGGAACACTTGATGAACATTGTTTAATGTTTAGAATCTTGTTCGATTTTGAATGTATTATGCATCAGCCAAATTATATGTTTGTTTGTATGTCACAATGTTTTGTGTCTATAAACCTTCCCACTCATATTTGTAATTTAGTGTACATGTTCCGAACCATTTCTTTTAAATTATATCACATTCACATGCACTTCAAAATTATTTTTAAAAATCTAAGGAAAGTTGCTGGTAACTGTAATGTTACAAATATCTCTTAAACCAAAAATGTATAATGTTTTGACTAAAGTTATAAAAGGTATTGGTATGTTAAACTATAAATAATCAGGGAAATGACTTTCAGAGTGAGAAAACTTTATTAATGAATTGTATTTTCATTTCTTTTATGTCGGAAAATAAATAAATTTTCCAACCACCCTTATGATACTGAAATTTTAAAAGATAGATAATGAACAAATCAAAACCATGAAATTTTATAGCGAAAAGTCCAATTTTTATGTACAGAAGATTTTTCTGTAGGAATTTATTTCGCTAGCTTTATGTTTCCTTCTTTCAAATATGGTCATGGCCAAAATAATAGGAAACTATACTTCTACCGTTCATTTGAAATTTGAAATATAATATTATACATGTTAAAATTGTCGTCTAACACATTATGTGCACAAATCAATATGTCATACAATAAAAATGAATGTATAAAAATATTAAATTGATTGTTTGATGTGTTCATTGACATTGTGTTGTACTCTGTGGAAGATTGGTATTGATGAGTACTCTAAAGTAATTCATTTATTAAAGATGCAGGTGAAAGATAGGCGAACAAAGTAGGAAAATCGGAGAAGAAAGTATTGGTGTTAAATAAAGATTATAATAGATTGAATGAGAGAAAAAACAGAGAGAGGAGCTTATACATGTGTGAGACCTGATAGAAATATGACAATGATTTGAAAGTAATAACTCGAACTAGAGCACGGAAGATTAAAGACTGATGGTAAAAGTTTCTTACTGTATACTTCGATATAAAAAGAAACAAAACATAAACAAAACTGCCATTCTTACGGTATACAAGTAAAATTGCATCACACCCGTATACCAGTGGCTGTCGCAGCCCTGTAATGTATGTTGTTTATGGCTATATCGCCGCTGCTTAGTTGCGTTTATTAAGGGCATCTGTCAGCTTTCTCGCGCACTTGTGTTATTCTTGACACAATTTGCTTGACATTTATTTCAAACAAACGTTCACAGTGAAAAATAATTCGCAGGAATGAGTGTCAGAGGAAATGAATTTATTGAGATGATTATGATAACTCTCCACCTCTCTATCTCTCTACTTGTCATCCTTCTCTCTCCCTTTTCGTTGCTCTTTATCTCTTTGGACTGTGTCTCGCCCACCATTCTATTTTCCTCTCGCGCGCTCTTTCTCACCAACCCTCTCTTTGATATCGTCACACCGTCTTCCTCCCAACTCCCACTCACTCTCTCTCTCTCTTTCTCTCTCTCTCTCTCTCTCTCTCTCTCTCTCTCTCTCTCTCTCCCAACCCCCTCCCCACAAGTTTTCTCTCAATTTACTTGACTTACTATTAATATCTTGACCTCTCTGTCTCTCTCTATCCCACTTCGTGATAATTGAACTATCTTTCGAGAGTCCTTTTCGTTTCTTTCCTTTTCTCTTGATCGCGCTTTCTTTAACCAGTCGAGACGAACCGATTCGAAAGTGTTGATCATCCGTATCAGTTGGACGCCTACTATAATGCATAATCCATGGAACGATTGATGACTACTATGGCGCCTCAAATATCACATCAGAAAGAGAAAGGACATAATATGGCAAAGGCGTGACATGCACTTTCTATTGCTGTTAGAATCTGTGTAAAAAGTTTTCATTCCTTTCATTTCAATAAACTATTTCTATCACTATGTGAAAGCCTCTTTAAAGTGTTGGGAGCCCCAGATTCGCCAAAAAATTGATGGCAAAATTTCACTATCATAATGTGAAAGAGCTACTGTGGAAGTGTTAGGAACCCCAAATTCGCCAAAAATTTGATGGCAATTGAAAGAGGATGTCATTAAGACGCAAAGATTCCCCCAAATGATTGAAGACAAAATTTAAAACATATTAATTTGGGTGTTCTGTTGAACGCAGAAAACCTAAGTTTTGTATTCTTTCATCAATATTTTGACTTCTAACACATTTGTTTTGAAAATCCTTGCAGAAATGTGTCTGAAACTTTGCCATCAATATTCTTCGGGGGCTTCCAATACTTTAGAGGGGCTTAGTTTAAACAGGAGGAGGGTTTAACGCGGTTAAAAAGCTAAAGAATACTCCCCAGGGAGTGGAAAATGTGCGCACATTGTGTGCGGGTAAGCCTGAATCCGATGACCGGGGTAATAATATATCTGTAAAGCGCTTAGGTACATCGTTGGATCGGTGTATTGAGCGCTATATAAAAAAAACCAGATTATTATTATTATTAAAGTCCATATCACACAGTAGAAATGTAGCTATCGGATCGCATGATTTACCTCTTTTGGTGCTGTTTCGGGGCATTTTAGGGTTAAAATATTTATTTATTTAGTGTATATGATCACTTAAATATCTTCATTTTATGTATATGCCATTTTTTGTAATGGTTCCGTCAACTTTGAGATGGTATATGTGCTTGTTGACTAATAATCATGGTCTGTTTTTTCACCTAATTAGTATGCTTCGTCTTCTTCTATTCGCATTTTTGTTCGCATTCTTCTGACTGAAGTTTAAATTTCGAATCTTTTTGAACACCTCACCTGGTTTTGATAGCAACCCAGCCGTCAACGTGTGCATTTACAAATACTGCAACATTGACAGATATTCACAAAATAACCTATTTTCAATCATCATGGCCATGTGAAACAACAACAAGAACCAAACACTGTCGAGAAATCCCGGAATGACTTGAAAGAATTGTGGTCTTAAATCCGCCAAGATCAATCCAAGCTGTGAAAACAACGGCTTTGTATTTTTGTACAAATACAGAAACGATTTATCCCCGTTTGAACCAGGCCTGAACTTGACGATACATACCACTTGGCTTTAAGCTGTCGGCAATGGCAGCGTTTAATATTTGGATGGGTTTGTCATACGTCAGGGAGGAGATCAACTTCTCAACTATCGCCATTTTGTTGAATGTAACGAAATGAAAACTAGATCTCGCCTCGTCGTAGGCTGTCCCCATGCAGTCCCTCCAAGCAGGCTGGACCTATAGTCAGAAAGGGCGGTCCTTTAAGCCTCGTTATGTCAAATAATAATCAATCAAAGAAGAAGATTGGTGGAGGATGAGTGAGATCATTTCCGTTTCATGTCTGTATTGGTTGCGGTTTAAGAGAGAGAGAGAGAGAGAGAGAGAGAGAGAGAGAGAGAGAAAGAGAGAGAGAAGCAGGACAATTTTGGGGAGGGACTTTGAGATGAATGACATGTGCATGGCGGCAAGCGGAACAAATAACTTGCACTTTTTAACCTGCGTAGTCGCGTGCGCAGAAGGAGTATTGTACTTTTTTTTTTTTTTACTTTAATGAATTGACAGTCCAAACTATCATAATGCATTTTGCTCAGTTTAAATTTATTTCACATTTACCCAGTGATAGAAGATAGACATGGTAAATCATGAAAATGCATGGTACAATTTTTCTTTTTCTTTTAGCAGCTTTCGACTTTACTATGACAAATTCTAACATAATGGTAGTTCGGATAAGAAAAAGTGTTCAATAACTTTCAGTTACCGCTTATGAAATATTGACTCACAGAAGAAGAATGCAGGAAATAACATTGTTCTTTAAATTGCGAAGGAAATGTGTGAGAAAGTAATCTTTAACTTTTTATCCCGTATCATTTCGTGCTAACAAGGCATATAATCACTGTGGCATGTTTTACGGGGGTCTGCATTTGCTGAATGTGAATGATAATTATAATTAGGCCCATTTGTAAGAGATTGATTTAGAAAAGATGAAGCCGCCGCAGATTATCCAGCAGTCCCATCACACCTATCTGTCAGTCTGTCTCTCTCTCTCACTTTCCATAATCGCTCTCCTTCCTCCTGTTTCCTTATGTAACTTTTTTCCATTTTTATGGGACGAGTGCCCTCCCCTCGCAGCTACGCCACTGACAGTAATAGTAAAAAATGACGACAATACTATCAATGTTATAAAGAGTGGGGGGGGGGGGGGTAAAGGAGGGTTGACGGAAGGGTGGAAGTCCGTTCTCCAATGTTCTAGGGCAAGTGGAGGGGGTCATTGAGGAACATCCCCAGACAGTGTTGTTACGATTGTTCAATGACTATACCTCCCCGTGAGTCCCTAAAGGAGATCAGCGAAATCGATGAGTATGTCAAGTTGGAGCAGACGGCTCGCGATGGTTTATGGTGCAACGATCGCGTAGTATCATTTCACCCGGTTGAATATCGCGGTCATTCTGTTCGAGGGCGAGCAGCTAGTCAACACTCACTCATCCATCGCAGTCGCTTCCCATGCCCTGGTCGTCTTTACTGGAATGGACCAGACCAGACGTTTTGGATTTGACCGTTACAGTGCTTTACTGCTCATTTAACTTTTTTTCAATTAAGCAATCATCTTAAACAGCGCCTCCTTACTTGGACGAGTGTGATTTGGAACAGATCGATAGGTACTTGTCAATTGACTGCATTTTCTCTTTATTTTCATTTGATGGGAAGTCTATTTGAGGAGCTCTAAGCAGTTCGGTCAACATTTTACTTCTCCGCGTCCTCTTCAATGTCTCTTTACCCCCCTAACATCACAGCTATTGCTCTAATATTTGCAGAGTTGATGCGAGTGAACATCTCATTGTGTTCTTCTCGATTCGTGTAGCGGATTGAAGGAACCCCCCATCAGACGGGTTTGGGCTTAACCCTTGCCCCTTCCCCCTCTCTTTGTGCCTTGGGAAGCCCAGACAGAATACTATACGGATAATAACATGGATTAGTTCCACACCGACGAGACAAAACTTTTCCTGACGCGCTGATGGAACAACCACTCTACTTTTCACCCTGCCTATTTTCCTTGTGATTTCAGATAGAATTTTTTTCAATATCGAAAGCGACAAGAAAGTTTTATTTCCCAGAACTTCTTCAAACAAAAGCGTTTTTGAGGTTGTTTGGTAACAATCATTTTTGATCGTGATCATTGCCGTCTGCTGGAGGATTTAGACGTATAGCCGGGCTTTCAGGTGGGACTCTACGGAGCCTAGCTTGCCATATTAGCCGAGTATCTCGGGGCGATACCTTCATAGACCCTCGACGAGTGGAGAGGTAAGTGAATACAATCACATGCTTTTTCTTTCCATTTCAACTACTTCTTTATAGTGGTACTCACGCCAATATGTCACTCAAGCGTCGACTTCCCACTCGCCCATGGGGCATGTCCACGACTGACAAAAACATTGCGTTTTCCTTTTGTCAGAAATCTGCGAATGGAAGTAACTATTGTTGTACAATTGTAGCTTGAAATGACATGTCGGCAAACATGAGCGAGGGGAAATTCAAATACTTGGCACCACACACAGCTGCAAAGACATGCCACATTCGATGGAAATATGAGCATCTTATTCAGAAAAGCTACACAAGTTTTATAAAGCTAAACAAATTGGAAATAATAGCAAAGTTTAGTCACACTGATATTTCATGTAGGTATCATGTACAAGTCATATATTTTGTGTACGTT